TTACTAATTTATTTGTATTTAATGTAAGTGCTTACATATCTTTATTTAAATTCATCATCTTACCATATTTTTTCAATCTGTCCTATCTGTTTAGTATTCCTTTTGCATTTCTTTCTTGCCTTGTTTTGAATTGGTTAAAACCCAAACCCTCGGCCATTGAGTGGGTTCTGACTCATAGTGACTATAGGACAGAGTAGAATTGCTCCATAGGTTTCCAAGGCTGTAAATCTTTATGGGAGCAGACAGTCTTATCTTTGTTCTGTGGAGCAACTGGTAGGTTTGAACCACTGGACTTTTTGGTTAGCAGCCCCATGCTTAATCCAGAATTGGTTAAGTGCATTTTATTATTTCTTTTTTCTCCCACTATTAGCTTGGAGGAGTCTTGGTGTGGTGCTATAGAATAAACACTGGATAGCTAACTTCAAGTTTAGCTGTTCAAACCTACCAGCCACTCCTCAGAAACCCTGTATGGGGTCACTATGAGTTGAAACCAACTCAGTGGCACTTACCAACAACATGTGCTTAGAAGCTTTGCTTTCTCTCTGTTCATTTGGTGTCCTTCAATTTTAGTCAAAATCTAATATGATCGTGGACCCTTTTCTCAACTATATATGTTCTTACCTTGATACTGATTTTTTAAACTTCATATAGACTTTAAATCCCACAATACATTTTCATACAGCTATTATTCTTTTACATCTATTTGAATTTTTGTGTGTGTGGCTGTTTTACTTCTTCTTGCCTCCCCAGTCTTCCACCTGAGATTTTTTTCCTTAAGAATTTCCTTTAATATATGTCTGCCAGTAACATTTCTCAGTTTTATGTGTTTAAAAATGTCTCTGTTTCCTTGTCATTCTTGGAGGCTATTTAGGATTGAGAAAGTGTAGAGTTCTAGGTTGGCAGTTATTTTCTGTAAGCTTTTTAAAGTGATCATTACATTGTTGTTGGGCTTCCCATGTTTTTGTTGGAAGTAGACTGCCAGTCTGTTTGTTGCTCCTTTAAAGGTAATAAATTCTTCTTCTTCTTCTTCTTCTTCTGGCTTCTAATAATTTCATTTCAAGAGATTTATTATGCGGTGCTTAAGAATATACTTCTTTTTCTTTTTTTTTAATCTTGCCTGGGATCCTTAGGGATTCTTTCATCTATGGCTTGATTTCTTTAATCAGTATTAGAAGTTTTTCTGCTATTAACTCTTCACATACTGCTTCTGCCCCATTCTCCCTCTTCTCTTTTCCTCTCTCCTGAGTCCCATTCACTTGCATGTCTCCATTCTCTAGCAAACCTAGCTCACTATGCCAGTTGTACATAACAGTCTAGGGAAACTCATATCATCCACCTCTGATACCAAATTGTTTGATGGAGAACGGATTCTGCTCAATGTGTCAGCTGTGTCATTTGGAAATCTTAGCTTCCTTTCTCTGTTCAGTTCCCCCAACTACTTATACAGCCTCACCAGCCACCTAAGACTGAATCAGTGGGTATTGGCCACAGGCTCAGGAGTCTCTCTTGACTTCCTCCATTTCAGACTAACTTGCCCCTTATCTCTCTCATCCCAGCCGTCTGGGGCTGTGTCAGTGAGTATCAGCTGCAAGCTCAGGAGTTTGTGTGACTCCCTCCACTTCAGACAAGCTGGCCCCACACCAGTTTTTCATCTTCCCACTTAGTTGCAAACCTAAGAGTTCACATAACTCCCTCCACTTTAGACTGCTGGCTTCCCTTACTCTTTGGGTCCAGTAATTCACTGCAATAGTTCAGAGAGCACATGGGAGAAACTGTATCACTTACCCTTTGACTCCAAAAATTGCCACTCATCGGCTCAGAAGCTCCACTGATCCCCTGTGTCTTTACTGGCCTCACCATGTGGCCATGGGAAAGTACATCATGCCTTGTGAGGCTTAATCAGTACTGGGCCCCCAGGTACTCTGGCTTTGAATTGGACCCAGAACAAAAGACCAAACTTCTTTCAGCACCTAACAGAGCCCTTCTTATTCTAGTCTTTGTCTCGTATTTATTTTTTATCCTTTTGTCTCTTGGTACTTTGTTCTGGATATTCGTGTCTGTCTTCCAGTGTCTAGACTGCTATTTGATTTACTCACTGACTTTTTAATTTTAACTTTTCAGTTGAAGAATTTCTGTTCATTTTCCCAACATCTGCTTATCCTTTTTCATAGTTTCCAACTTTCTACCAAAATTCTCAGTCTTGTATCTCCTTGCACACAGTATGAGGATGGCGTAGAACTAGGTAGAGTTTCGTTCTGTTGTACATAGAAGTACTATGAGTTGAAACTGATGCAGTGGCCCCTAGCAACAACAAAATTTTATATTTCGCCTAGTTTTTCATTATATTGCGTATCTTTTCTTATTCCTTTAAAAATAATATGTTGTTGTTATTGTTAAGTGCCATCGAGTAAGGTTCTCACCCATAGAGACACTGTATAAGGTTTCCAAGGAGTGGCTGGTGAACTTGAACTGCTGACCTTGCAGTTCAAACCAACTTTGCAGTCAGTGCAATATTTATACAGTCATTGTACATTTGCATCTATTTATGATTTTTGTGGCTTTTCATTCCATTTTGCCTCCCTGATCTTTTCATCTAGCATAGTGGTTACGAATTGGGCTGCTAACCTAAAAGTCGGCAGTTTGAAACTACCAGCAGTTCCGCCGGAGAAAGATGAGGCGTTCTGCTCCCGTAAAGATTTACAGCCTCAGAAACCCTGTTCAGGGTCACTATGAGTCTGAACTGACTCCACGGCACATAACAACAACAACCAGTGAAATAATTTGGGGTCTAGAAGTAGTTTCTTCATTACTGTTTTAACTTGCCTTTCAGTACTTTTTCATATTCTTATTGGCCATCTTTTATAAAGGTTCTGGGCAAGGAGTTTGACCATTTTAAAGTTGATTTATTTATCTTTTTGTAATCAGTTTGGGGGAGTTTTAAAATATATATCTTTTGCCATGTATATGTTTTATGTTCTACCAGTCTGTGGCTTATATTTTCACTTACCTAGTGGTGAAAGTGAAATCTTGTTTGAGATACAGTTCATCAGTTTTTTCATGCTTAGCGATTTTTGTGTCCTAAGAAATCTTTGCCTCTTCCAAAACCATGAAATCATTCTCTAGTGTTTTTTCTGGAAACTTTATAGCGTTGCTGTCATCTAAGATCTGTGAGCAGTCTCAAATTTTGTATCTGATGGTTTGTGGTAATTATCAAGTTTGGTTGGATTTTGTTTGTTGTTTTCTTTGTGCATATCTGGTTGTTCCAGTACATTCCCTTCCACATTGAATTGCAGTTGTACATCCTTCAAAACTCAAGTAACTGTGTAGGTCTGTTTCAAGTAATTGTGTAGGTCTGTTTCCAAACTTGCCATTTTGTCCCATTGAACCATTCTTTTCTACTAATGGCAGGAACAGGATCTCGTACTTAAGCTGAGTGTCTGATAGTGTAAGATGTATGATTTTAATCTTCTTAAAGATTGCCTTAACTTTTCTAGGTCTTTAGTAGTTCATACACGTTTTAGAAACAGCCTGTCAATTTCCACAAAATAGCCTGCTGGGATTTTTGTCTGGGGTTGTATTGAATTTGTTGATAAGTTGGGTGAGAGTTGACATATTTACCAAAGTAAGTGTTCCTGTGACATGGTGTCTCTCCATTTATTTACATCTTTTTTATTTTCTTAGCAACATTTTTATAGTGTTCCATGTAAAGGTGTTATACATCTTTCATTAAATTTATCCCTAGGAGGTTGATGTTTTGGAATGCTATTGTAATTATAAATTTCAATTTCCAGTTGTATACTGTAAACATAGAAATAGGTCTTTTGTATCTCATGTCTATAGTTGTACAAAATTCACTTGTTAATTCTGGAAATTGGTTTGTCAATTCTTTTTGGATGTTCTACTTACACAATCTTCTCATTTGCAAATAAGGACAGGTTTGCTTTTTCCTTTCCAGTTTGTGCCTTTTAGTCCTCTCCCGGTCAATCACTGGAACTTCCAGTGCAGTGCTGATTAAAAATGAGGAGAAACTCTGTATGTGGGTACTTAGCATTTCACCATTGCTGGGACACTAGCTGTGATGTCCTGTAGCTGGCCTTCGCAGATGCTGCCAGTGCTTTTCTTGAAGGAGTGTTGAATTGTCAGAAGCTTTGCCTGCCCCTTTTGAGAACACCCTGCTGGGCCCGCGCATTGTGTTGCTATTGTTGTTGCTAAGTGCTGTCAAGTCCGTATGGACTCACAGCGACCCAGTAAAGGGTTTCCTAGGAACGCTGGTGAGCTTGAGCTGCTGACCTTGTAGTTCAAAGCAACCTTGCAGTCCAGCGCATTAATCCACAGTGCCACACCAGAACTCCCCTCACTGTGTAAGCTAGTGAATTGCAGTGATTTCCAGTGTTAATATTTCCTTGCATTCCTGTTATTGTTACCTTTGTTATATTGCTGGATTTGATTTGTCAATGTTTTGTTTAGGGCTTTAAAGACTCATTTTGGTCTGTCACTTCCTTTTCTCCTAATGTCCATGTTGGGTTTGGGCACCAGGGCTCTGCTGCTCTCATTAAGCCATTGGGGTCCTTCCTATCTGCTTGCAGCATTCTTCTTCTCTCTGATGGGGTGCCCTTGAGATGGCACATGAGCAGAAGAGTTTCTCTGCACTGAAGTTCCAGGCTCCCTCAACCTGCACTGAGACACTCACTCACGCCTACCTAGCTCATAGGGGTCCATGCCTTCCCTGTTTCAACAGGAGGTCTGTTGTGCCAGCCCTTCCTACATCTCAGGGTCCAGGCCTGACTGGCTCCATCCACTATGGCCAGTGGTCAGCTTGCTGCTTTGCCCTGTCCCACTTGTCATTCCAGTGGGACCCATCAGGGGGTGCCTGTCCCACAGCTCATTTTGGGCCCACTCTTCTGAAGCTGGAAACCCTGCCTGGGACGCAGAGACTGCTCGGGACAGCCAGTTGACTGCACTGTGTGTAACCCTCCTATTCTTGTCTCCCTGCCTTGTAGGTGAGCACACCAAAAGCAGGACTAGGGGGCCCCTGCCTGACCCTGAGGCCAGGCCCTCTGTCTACCACAGTCATCCCTGGAGCTGCCCCGGCCCTGTCCAGGCCCATGCCAGGTACTGCCATCTTCAGGTTCCCAGCCCTGCCCTATGCAGGACCTCTGGGTCCAAGCAGAGGCCTCATCTCCACTCCCATGTCCTGGGGGCACTGGCTAGCTCTAGTGGGCCAGCCAGGGGATCAGAGCTGTCAAAATCTCACCCAGGTGCCAGACCTGGGCACACCAGATATGGTAATCCTCTCACCATATTTGCAGCCACCTATGGTCACTTAGCCTAGCCCCAGGCTGTGGATCATACAGCTTTCTGCCTTGCCCACTGCCAGGTGGAGAGCTCTGAGCAGTACAGAGAAATGAGGTTATGGTCTGGCTTTGGAGCACTGTGTCCTACCTGTCTGGGCACAGTGGCTGCCCCACAGAGCCAATCCAGCACCACAACACCTCACTGTGGCAGGTAGCCCTGGATATGCCAGCACAGGAGGGAGCAGTATGCTCATGCAATATGTGCTTCCTTTCTGCTGGAGGCACTCTTCATGCCTTCGCAGGCCCAGTGCTCTGCACTCAGTCCTCACACCAATTTCCTAGACTTGGATCGATCACTACACACTGTAATAACCCCACAGAAGTACAGTGCCTTGCAGTTCAGTTTTTTTAATCCCTAATGGGAAGAGATGTTTCTAGAAGTACTTATTGGAAAAGTGTATCTTATTTTATAATTGGTTTATGAGTTTATATCTTTATTTCTTATTTATGAATGGTTTCTAAATTGGAAGCTAAGTCTGACCTTTAGTTTTCTGTTGCAAATAACCTTTTTTTGTATTTTTTTTGTTTAAGAAAAAAGTGGAATTGGTTATCTTGAATATTGAAAAGTTGCAATTGCTAGGCAAGCTCTGCACCATACTCAGAAAAGTGAGATCTTACTGGATTTAACCAATGGCTAACGGAAGACAGATGGAAACACTCTCTTAAATGGCGCATTCTGGGCCCGTTGTCGGAGCTGCCTTATGCCCATAATTCTTCCAGGAGGGCATTTTTAGCAGTGGCTAATCTCTTAGAGCAGGAATAACATGAAGCTTTCTGCTCCCGCAAAGATTTACAGCCATTGAAACCCTATACAGGGTCACCATGAGTCGGAACTGACTCGGCAACATTTAACAACAGTCTCTTAGAAAGGCTGAGAGGAACCTGCTAGAAAATGCTCAGAAATTACAGCTCTTGGTAACCCAGAGCCTGAGGGTCCTCCCCTGGGCTAGGTCAAGGTGTTGTGAGTGTGGGTGAGTGTGTGCTGGGCAGCTGCCTCGGGGTCCTACCAACCCCTCATTTGAGCTCTTTCTGGCTTTTCTTTTCAACAATTTGTACTGAGGCCCATGACCACATCCCCCCACCCCTCAACCTCACTTATTCTCTTACAACTGTATTTCCTTGGACTCTGGCCTGCAGGCTGCCTTTGGCACTCATCACACATAGGCATTAAAACTGCCCACAGTGGAGCCTGGGGGCCCCATCTCCTCCCCTAGCAGAGACCACCTCCTGATGCCAAGATGTGAATTGTATAGTTTTACTGTACTATGGAAGATTACTAGAACTGGCTAAATTATTTTTGTTGAAATACATGGTTCCATCAATTCAGTTAGAATTGAATTGTCTATGTGATTATGCAGAGTCTTCTGCCTGGACACATGCTGTTGTAAGAGATTTCTGTCCTCTGTGCCGCACACCTCAGTCTGTTTGGTTTAGGAGTCACCCCTCTGTTTCATGAGTGAAATGAATAGCTACTGTCACTGTCTCTCCTCCAACTTGCACTGAACCTAAGGTTTGGAGTCTCTCTCACCTATTAGCCTCTCCCCACTCCCACCCCCCACCCCCGCCCCTTGTACATGGAGAGTCGGTGGCACAAAATCCCTAAGAGACTGTATATGATAAGGAGAAAAATAAACACTTTTGCTTGAAAACAGTGTGGAAAAAATCTTTTTCTTCCTCTGTCCATGTAAGAGCTGGCCAGCTGGGCCTCTCAGAAAGGGCAAGAGTAGTGAGCAGAGCTGTGCATTGGCCCTCCCTCTGGGGCCAGGTCAGCCACTGCAGCTTTGTGCTGCCCCCCCCCCCCACCAGCTCTAGGGGCAGGGAGCTGAGGAGGGGGCTGGGGTGAAGCCAAGTGACGGCAGAGGATGGGCAGGACTCTGCCAACTAGAGCCGCCCAGGGTCCATCTCTGTTGGCAAGGAGGAGATGACCTTGCAGCACCCTCCGCCCACACGCCAAACTCAACGACTGTGGTCATCTCAGCGACCCAGCGTGAGTCACAGCCCTGAACAAAGTGTACCCCATTTTCCATAGAAGTGGGCTCTGTCCCAAACCGAAGGAGTTAGACTCGGGTCAATCACTGGGCCTACTCTGCTCTCTCCAGGAAAGCTCCAGTCGTAATCCCTGTGACCAACTGAGTGCAAAGGAACAGGTTTACAGCTCCCTCTGGAAACTTCTCCTGGACCAGTGTCAATCTCTATACTTATAGAGGGTCACCCACAGGTTGCTCCAGGGGCTCTGACTTTGCCAATAGGCACAGGCCCTGGGAAAAGTGCTGGCTTTGAGAAGAGTCCCCATGAGTGCACAATTGTCGCAGGGTCCCAGGAGGCAGCCCTCTTGTACACTAAAGACTCCTGAGCCATACTGGAGCTGGAAGGGCTGTATTTTCTTTTATTGCCCCAGTGGATTAGCAGCTACAGGTCTGCTTGTTCCTCAGTCCCATGGAGACAGACAAGACGGGAGGCTGTGCGCCTCTATTCTCATGGATGGGCCCATCCTAGAGGCCTTGCAGACCTACCGGGTGCCTGGCTCAGCACTGAACCTAGGCAGAGAGAGGTGCTGCTTGGCTCAAGCTGCCAGTACACTCCCCGGGACACTGCCTGCTGTGCAGGAACTGAGGTCTAGGCTTCAGGAAAGCCAGCCTGTGCTTTGTTAAAGCTAAGAGGGTGGTGGCTGAGATGACAGAAACTGAGAAGCACAGGAGCCAGGGCACTGAGGATGCAGCCACTCCTGCTCCCTGTGAACAGCCCCCAGAGAATGTTGGCTCCATTTGCCCTGGCTGCTGACTGGCCCCGTAGATGCAGCACCTGGACAGCACTGAGCTATGGCGGTTTTGTTTTCTAGATTCTGAGAGTGAGAAGCCAGACTGAGCCCAGGCAGGCCGACCCGACCCAGACGCCAGGCCCGTGTCATCTAGAGCGAAGAGGGAACGATGGGAAGTAACTGGGCCTCCGGGTGCAGCCCTTGCTCCTTGTCCAGCTCACACTGTTTTGTAACCACTTTCTACGCATTTTTTTATTCACAATTGGAGACACAAATGTACAAGAATAAAAAATATTTTGGGGGAAAAAGGACTTCGGTTTTTAAAACTTCTCCTTTCCAGTGCCCCTCAGCAAGCAGGTGGCTAGAGATGTGTTGAGTAAGGGTTTAGACATCAGACAGGGTGGTACTTCTGAGGTGTGATGCTGTTACAGTTTATTTGCTCAGGCTCCTCAAGACAGCAGCTGGGACAGGTCAGATGCATGGCAAAGCCCTGGAGCTAGGTGACCATGTAGGCAAAGCTGTGTCAGTGTGAGGTTGGGCCTGGGCTTCTGTTTCCATAGCTGATACTCATGCCACCACCCTGGGACAGCCCTGTCTGTAGCAGGGAAGTTTGGAGACCTTACACAGAAACCTTAGCCTTGGAACACAGTTTCCACTGGAAATTCTCTTGGGCTTCTCTGCTCAGTATCTGTGAGCACAAGCTAGCTCTCCCCCTTATCTCTGGGCCCAGGGCTGGCAGCCATGAAAATCCAGAATGACCCTCTTGGATGCGCATTCAGCACAGGGACCACTTGCTCCTTGGAGAGTTGAGTCCCCATAGTGCGAAGTGTTCAAAAATAGCTTGAAAAGTGGGACATCCTCATGTGACCTAGCCTGGGATGTAAGCAGCCTACAGGTGAGGCATGAAATGGGCCTGAACCTGTGGTGCTAGGGTTGTAGTAGAATTCAGGGCTTCCTGTGCACCACAGTGAGGAAAATTACACTTTTATTTCCATCTATCTCAAACTAAAACATTGTGTTTTCTCTAGTGAGGACCGTAGATAACAGTGGCCTTAGCAGCAGCACCTAGACTTGAGAGCATAATTAGACCACAGGTATTGCAGATCACATTAGCATTATTGTAGACATCACAAATTGCCATCTATGTTTGTCACAACAGCGTGCCCATCCCTAAGATACAGCTCCTGCCCAGTTGACTTCCCATTCACACCACATGTCTGAGCACATAACCCTGCTCTCCTGGCTGCTCAGGCCCAGGGGGAGTGCCAGGCCGTGCCTCCACGGATGCTCTGGGTCTCCCCATCTCCCACCAGCTTTCTTACTGTGCTGCCACTATGCCAAGAAGACATGCTCAGGCAAGTGCCATTGGGTGAGGAGTAGGCTGTGGTCCAATCCTTGAGCAGGCAGCAATATTTGACCACAAGTTAGTAACCTTATTCATTTTGCTGCGTACAAAGATTTTGTTTTCAAACAACACAATGATTTAAATCATTATTTTAAAGCAAACAGTATGGGTGATGGAGTCCTGGTGTGGCACTGTAGGTTAATGCGCTAGACTGCAAAGTCACTTTGAACTATAAGGTTGGTGGTTCAAGCTCACCAGTTTGCTCCTTGGAAACCCTCTACAGGGTCACTATGAGTTGGAACTGACTCGATGGCACTTAATAGCAACAACAACATGGGTGGTATACAAGTTAATGGTAAATACTGTGAAGGGAGATGACTGAGGTTTGGGAACCTGCAGCAGTTTATGGGTGGTCATAGTAACTCTTGGCAGTGAGGCCCTGGAGGGCAAGGAATTTCCCCAGAATCCCGAGGCTTGACCAGGAGGTTGATTCTGGTGGTGGGATACCAGCACAGTATTACTGGGAGACTCCGTATCACATGCTCACTGCAGGATGCAATCAGTGTTTTCTTTCCCTCCCTGGACCCCAAAGCAAAGGCCTATCCCCACCCCCACCCTGGGGAAGGGCCTCAGAAAGCAGTGTGACCAACATGACGGGTGCCACCCTAACATTGGTCTTCTGGTCCCTAGTAGTTCTCCAGTGTCCACAGGGTAAGCCTCAAATCCCATGTCTCGAATTCAAGGCTCTCTGTGATCTGCTGGAATGTGACAACATTCTGTACGTTACTCCTGCTCTCCATTCTTCCTAAGAAACCTCCTTTTTGTTGCCAAAAAGCTGCTGCTTGTGACACTGGCAGCCCCCAGGTGTTATCCCTTCTTCAAGTTCCCACATATCTGTGGACCTTTGCCATAATCCCAGATGCTTTATCCTCATGTATTGCTCACAGGTGCATCACCTAGGGAGGTAGCGAGAAAAAGAAAGGGGAAAAAGAGGGCCAAGGAAAACTTGTGATCAGAAATGTAAACAATGGACAAACCCCACTCCTCCCTTTACTGGGTCCCACAAGAGCTATTGGAGAGACAAAGTCCTTTCCCAGCCCTAATGCATCAGAATTCTGGATTGTGGAGAGACACTGCTCAGTAGGTTAGCTGCACATGGAGTAGGAAGGCTGGCGGGTGCTAAGAACTGTAAGAGTTCTTGGTTTAGAACACAAATATGCAGCAGTTACTACTAGCAGGACAGGATGGGTGAGATGAGTGTTGGAGACTTGGAGCGGGAAGGCCAAGTCAAGTGCAGATTTTTCTGATTTTTTTCCTTTCCCTCACATCCCATATCCAGGCTGTCTGCCAGGCCTGCCATCTCTACCTCCCAGTCAAAGCCCATTTCCCGCCTAGTGAATCCATCTTGTGTGGAAAATTCCCAACAGGCACCTACTTTCAGGTCTCCCTGCTTCTACTGTGTTCCACAATATAGTGACTATTTAAACCCTCCAGTAAAGGACCTTTGCTTCTAGCTAAGAGGGAGGCCTGATGTGGCACTGTGGGTTAATGCACTGTACTGCAAAGTCAGTTTGAACTGCAAGGTCAGTGGTTAAGACTCACCAGCTGCTCCTCGGAAACAGGATCTCTATGGGTCGGAACCAACAAAACAGCACTTAAGAACAAGAGGGAGTAACCGTTCAGGATTTACCCTCTTAGCTGAAACAACATAAAAAGTGGAGAAAAGATACAACAAAATGGTTTTGAGACTTGGGTCAGGTAACAAAGGGCATTAGTCTCTGAGAGACAAACAAGATGAGCCCTGTGTTCAGCCTGGCTTCTTGCTTTGAGAGAGTTTCCAGATTGTAACACAAGGAGGGAGAACCCAGGCAGAGCCTAGCAGATTCCTTGAGTGGAGGATATGGAGTTTAGTTTTGGTAATCAAAGCAAGCACCAGAAAGAAGGGACTTGGAGGGAGAGAAAGCAAAGGAAAACTGAAGATCTAAAGAAAGGTGTTTCAGGTATTCTGCAGAATCGTGTGCATGTAAAGAAACTACCATCAAGTCTGAGGAAAGCACCACACAAAAGGATTAGTCCCTAGTGCTCACACAGGGCTAGGCAGAACAGAAAAACCTCATCATGTACAGAAGATTTGGCAGCATACTCAGAAGGATCTTGACTCAATTGTTATTAAGTGTTGTTGAGTTTTTCCCGACTCATAGTGACCCTGTATAGTGTTTCCAAGGAGCAGCTGCTGAGTTTGAACCACCGACCTTGTGATTCAAATTGACCTTGAGGTCCAGTGCTTATCATAAAATACCACACACGGACTCCTAGTGGAGAATAAGAAACTCTACAATGATGCTGTGTGGTTCCACCTCGTGAACCATTAAACCAAGAACTAAAAGGATCAAACTGTCTCCAAATAATGCCTCAGAAAAAAATTCAAGAATATTTACAAGTATACCAGTATTTCTGGCACTCAGAAAAATAAAGTATGACTGGCATCCCATACAAAAATTACCAGGCATATGAAGAAATAGAAAAATATAATGTATAATGAGAAGAAAAAAGTTTACCAAAACATATCCAGAATTGACTATGAAGTCAAAATAAGCAGACAAGAACATTAAAACAATTAGTATAGTATTTCACAATTTTCTTTAAAAAAAAAAAATAGAATTTTTAAAGATAAAAACTACAATGTCAGAGATGAAGAATACACAACAGATCAAATTCTATAGATTTTGAACTGAACTTGAAAGACAGGGCAAAAGAAATACATTTGACAACTTAGACGAAATGGACAAATTGTACGAAAGACACAGATTGCCAAATCCTACTCAAGAGGATATAGATAACCTGAATAGCCCTATACAAGGGTCTATTAAAGTTATTTTACAGTTTAAAAACTTCCCACAAGAAGATTCCAAGGTCAAACATCTTCACTGGTGAATTACCGTAGCTATTACGGGAGAAATAATACCAACTCTTCCAGATAATACTGATGCCCTCATTCTACATGGGCAGCATTGTCCTGAGGATCATAAAATCAGGTAATAATATTACAAGAAAACCAAAGACTGATATTCCTTATGAGCATGTCATTTTTAAGTGCCATTGAGTTGGTTCCAACTCATAGTGACCCGATGTACAAGAGAACGAGCACTGGTCCTGCACCATCCTCACTACTGCTGCTGTGCCAGTCCATCGCATTGATGAGCTCCCTCTTTTTCACAGAGCCTCCACTTGACCAAGCATGATGTCCTTCTCCACAGTCTGGTCCTTCCTAATAATATGTCCAAAATATGAGACATGAAGTCTGGCCATCTTGGCTTCTAAGGAGCATTCTGGCTGTACTTCTTCCAACACAGATTTCTTTTTCCTTCTGGCAGTTCATGGTACCTTTAATATTCTTCTCAATCACCTCAAATTCTTCTAAGGTCTTACTTATTCATTGTCCAGTTTTCACATGCGTATGAGGCTATTGAAACAAAATATGAGCAAATTGAGTATTTAAAACAGCAGCAATATATGGTCATCCAGAATGGTTCAACTTTTAAAATAATACATTACCATTTATGACATTGCCATTTTATAATAGAATCAAGATGTTAAAAATACTTCAGAATAAATTGACAAAAGATGTGAAAGACCTATTTAACATTGCTGAGAAAACTTAAGATATGAATGGAGTTGTTAAGTGTCATGGAGTCAGCCCTGTATAAGGTTTCCAAGGATTTTCAATCTTTATCAGGAGCAAAAAGCTTCATCTGTCTCCCA